TGATAAATATTTTGTTAAATAAGTTCCTTTGATTTATGAAACAGATTTGTAAATAAGTAGAATAAGAAAGAGATTTGATTTGGAGTAGAGAGAAATTTGAATTGCAATACAAAGAGAATTGATATCTAATTTAAAGAAAGAGAAGAGGTGAAGGAGAATAATATCAAAAGAGATAAATGTTTGTATAATATCAGAAGAGGAAATTGTTACAAATGATTCGGTTAAATAACAGAACTCAAAGTAGACATATATACAAAACTCAAACTGATTTCATTGGCTACAAATGAAAGCTAAAGATACAACCAAAACTTTTGTGTATAAAGCAGACATGACCAAAAGCATTGGCTACAAATTAAAGCTACAGATACAACCAAAAACAGTTGGTTCCACTTGTGCAGATGAAGCCAAAACTTGTGAAAAAAATTGTTTGGTTGTGCCGACTTGGTCCTGAGAACCATAGCTTGGGAATTTTAGCTGTCTCTTGCACTTTGTCCATGAGCTTTCAGGATATTAATGCCCTACAATGTGGTAAGCGGAATTGTTTAAGCATAAAATACCATCCTCACTCAGGATGTTATGGTTGACTATTTGACAGAGAAGTATAGAAATACCTTGTTGGTTTTAGCACAGTTTATCAATGGAACTTTTCTAAGCTTTTCAACCTATAGAACATAAAAATACGTAGTTAATTAATGGGGTAGAGACAGGCACAATGGAGAGCCAAACGGTCAATTATACTGACAGAAAAAACACGTATAAAGAGAGGACCATAAAGAGTTGACCACATAAACTAATAAAGTCAGAAGATGTTCATAAGACCATCACAACAGGACTAACCTTGGTCACCAACTTCTCTATCCTGGAATCACTTCTGCAATGCAGGTCACTACATATGATGTTGGATGTATTTTGTTCCTGACCAAATCGTTTGGCTTCTACAAAAATATGCATAAGACCATTAATCATCAAGAAGTGACATATCTCACAAGTTTAGCAAACCAAAGACAATGGTAATGAAAATAAACCTTCAGCAACTCAGCAGCTACAATAACAACAGATGTAGTCCCATCACCAACTTCTCTATCCTGGAGCTCAGCTAACTCAACAAGAACCTGTCATAACAAAAGCAAACAAAGCAAACAAGACAAGACGAATCGGGTACGAGAAACAAATATGCTATCCATATACATACTCATCTAAGAAACCAAATCAGAGGTTAACTCATATGCAAATCAGAAACCAATAAAAATCCCAAAAGAATGACTATAAATGTTCCCTTTATCAATATAACATCATAATCAGTTTATGTTCCCTTTCTAAGTAAAAACACATGTTCAGTATAAAGAGACTCCTATGACTGCCTTAATAAAAGGTACAACAGATTCACACCAAATCTTCTTAAAACACACAACATAGAACATTCCGAATTGAAATTGAAATATGATATAAACACAGAAATCACTTCTTAAAACACACAACATAAAACATTCCGAATTGAAATTGAAA